ACATAATACTAAAGACCCCACCTCTAAACTAATGAGATGGAGAATCAGATTAAATGAATACGATTATAATATCGTTTACAAGCCCGGGAAACTAAATTGAAACGCTGACGCCCTCTCACGAAACCCCGTAGATCTCGAACTACCTCCTGTCCTCCTCTCCACCTCCCCTCCCCAACGACAGATGAAAATAAGAAAAAGATCTTGTGTCTACGGAATTTAGAAAAGGTGCAGGTCTGCGTAGATAAAGCATCGGTTCTTGCTTCCTCAATAGACAAAGATAGAGATGAAAGACGGACTGACTGTACAAACGAGGAAATGATAGGTGCTGTTTTCCTAGCGCGCGGGAAAATAGTACATAATGAACTAAACGAGGTCGTGGACAGCTCAAAGACTAAAATTAATGATTACTTGAGTGAAGAGGAAGATAATAGTGGTAGTGACGGGTACGAAACTGCAAACGACGACGAGACGCCTTGTGCTTCCGCGAGATCGAACTCGAGCACTAAGGGACCACCTACCCGAGCGTGGAGCGACTGTAAATATAAAGCTCAAGATCGCAGGGAAGGTGTAGCATCTTTGGGTTCCCAAGGAGACCGGTCTCCCGGATACAAAGAAGGAAGGTCGCGCAAGGATGAGACCGAGACAGATTCTCCCCGCGAACATGCATCGAATGAGGCCAGTATTATTCCCAAAAAGGGGGCATCTCGTCGTTCATGGCGCGGAGAAATCTTGAAATGTGCGAGTGAAGTAGCCGGCGTTATGTCTAGCTTGTTTAATAACGGGACGTTCCCACGAGATAGGACCTACCCGATTCAGGAAGGCACCGCCTGGGCATCACACGAGCTTGAGATTGAGAGACCGATCGAGAAATGTGTGCGACCTTCTATAGGCACGACCTCGCGCATAAATAACAATAGAATTGACAGAAACAAATCAAGACAGGCAAAGATATTGAAAGTAGACGTTCACAATTCCCTCCCGCCGCCACTCCCAAATATTACTTATTCAAAGGATCACGTTTACTTACGCAAAGATCACGTTGCACATTTTATTCCCTCTGATTGTAACATTACCTCTAACATCGGGCTCGAATTACTATCACGAAGAAGATTTTACGTGGACAGATTAAAAACTTGCCAGTTTAATGTAGGAGATACGCTCACGTTCCCCGAAGGCAATTCATATGTTTTCCATTTAGTCGTGAAAGAAACCGCAGAAGATGAACCCACTCTCCCCCACATAAAATCATCAATAGAATACTTAAAACACCTCATGGAAAATCTAAAAATAAAAACAATCTGTATCCCAAAAAATGAAAACGACCTACCCCTAATAGATTGGCAAAACGTAGAGGAAATAATAAAAAACACTTTTAACGAACCTAGCTACACGATCCTCGTCTGCACCGGCGAAATTGAAACCCCTTTAAAAACCGAACGAAATGAAATAATAAAAGAATATCACAAATCCGTTGTGGGAGGACACCAAGGCACCCACAAATTGTTTAAACGTATTCGAGAAGATTTTTATTGGCCAAAGATGCAACAAGACATTGATGATTTCATTCGCACATGCCACAGCTGTCAACGGTACAAAATCCGTTCTGCCAAGACCCGACAACCAATGAGAATAACAGACACCCCAAAAACCGCTTTCGAAAAAATACAGATGGACATCGTAGGCCCCCTTCCTCCTACCGCCAAAGGAAATAAATACCTACTTACACTACAAGATAATCTCACGAAATACTCTGACGCAATTCCTATACCCACGATAGACACCGCCACCGTTGCGATTGCTTTCGCCGAAAACTTCATTTGTCGATTCGGTTGTCCTCGCGCTATTCAGACTGACCAAGGAAGTAATTTTACTAGTCGTATTATGAAATTGTTCTGTAAAATATTTAAAATCCAAAAATTTACTTCTACTGCATTTCGCCCCCAATCTCAAGGCTCGATCGAGCGCGCCCACCGGGTATTTGCAGATTATTTGAAACATTATTGCACGAAAACCGACTGGGACGACTGGATTAAGTTTGCGATGTTCTCCTACAATACTGCGATTCACGAAAACACAAAGTTCACCCCTCACGAACTCGTTTTTGGAAAAAAGGCAATAATTCCCTCTGAATTTGCTCAGGAAAAGGTCGAACGCACCTTCATCGAATATCGGGATGATTTATTCGTAAAAATTACTACCACCCAAGCGTCCGCTGCCGAAAATCTGAGAGTTGCGAAGGAAAAAAGCAAAATTTCCTATGATAAACGAGCCAACCCACGGGAATTCAAAACCGATGATTTTGTTTATCTATTAAAGGAACCAAGAAATAGTAAATTCGATCCGAATTGGTTGGGCCCGTATAAAATTATCACAGTTTACGACGATCACAACGCTAAAATTGCTCTGGAAGCGAATGAAACAAAAATTGTACATACCGATAAACTCAAACCTGCTAGCATTAGATTAAATGATTAAGACGCCTCTATCAAAAAAAAAAAAAAAAAATCGTGTAACTAGCCTTAACAATTTCATATACAGGGTGTCCCAGAAGTACATGCTAATCCTTTAACAGCATGTACAGGGGGTGATTCTGAGCCGAAAAGTTCTTTTCCACTTTTGGATCAGAAGCACCCCCCCGGAGATATTGGGGTAAATACGAGAGCCAATGACGCTGCAGCGTTAAACGGCAGTACGTCCGTGTGGCTCCGCACACACGCATGACCGACACCCCTTCCAGGCAGCGGGCTACGCTTTTACCTTCGCCCGTGAGTGAGAGAGCAGTATCATCGATTCTC